TTTACAATTTATGTAATTATGCACCGTAAGTGTGCTAAAATCAGTCTGTTTAATCAAGAATTATATAAAAACAATCTGAAGTATATAAAAGCTATGATATTTAAACATTAAAAAAACACTGATAACTTTGTATCAGTCGTATTTACTCACTGGATTTGGTGTTTCTTTAATCAACCTTTTACAGTTGGTACAATCCTATCAGTACAGCAATAATAAACTTGTGTTACATGTTCTCCGTGTAAGTGTTCAGAAAATGACACTGTATATCCTGCAAGCTGAAAATAAATAATATATTTATGTTTTGCTTTAAACTGAATTACAGTTGTCACCAAGATCCATCGGCCTTTTTCTGTCTTTTCACATCGTCCCATTCTCTCTTTCTCCTTTTTCTCATGTTTTATTTCCATATACATTGCATATACATTTTTGGTAGTTTCTTTTTCAACGTGTAAAATAAAGCGAAGAGAATGATATGGTGGCAGTTATTGCAGTTATTACACCTAATTCTGGATTTGCTTTGTAAACTCCGATGACCTGGAACATCCGACCAAAAGACGTCACGCAACACCAACAAAACTTCCCTTTCATTTTCTGTGTCAGGTTCCTTTAAATATTCTGTGGTTTCTGTTGCATTAATTTCACAGACGGATGACGACGTTGACTTTGAACCCCATTATGAAAATAATGAGGCATATCTTGAGTCTTAATAGCACTATTTTGGGTGTTGCTATTTTTGCCCTGTTTAGTAAATCTGGCTCTATTGGGGAAGACCCCCAGTCTAATAACCATTTTTAAAGCTGGTAAAAATCTGAAAACATTATAAAATCTATGTTTCAAGTTTATTTTTGCACAAGGTTCCTGGCTACAACCAGACCCATTGTTTATTTTCATAAGTATTTTTTTAAACTGGTAGTTTACTTAGTGTGGTTAACTTACAACCAAATGAAAATGCTTACCTTTCTTTTGCAGATGTTTTACTGACTTATTCATAGTTTGTGCTGCCTTAATGAAGGCCAGTTTAAATCTGCCTCCCACGGTGTCTGGAAAACAGAAAAAGAAATATTATAAACAGAATCTAAATTACGTGAAATGACAATCATTAAGTCTGAAGTGGAGTAGGAAGAAATATAATCATATCACTTATAATAGTGATATGGTGTGTGCATGTGTGTGAATTATTTCAGTCGTTCAAGCCACAACATATAAATACGGGAAGATTTTTGATAACCTGCCAGCAAAGCTTTTTAGTCCGGGCTTTTCGTCGGCCTCCACATACTAAGTGCACTCTCTGTCTTCATACTGTTCACCACCTCTCTGTCCCCAGATCCTTTGCACTGTACTCATCTCCTCTTCCTCCCCATTCCACATCCACTTTTCCTTTCACTTTCCTCTTTCCCATCCTGCTGGCAACCTTTTTCATTTTTCCCTCTGTCCTTGTAACGTTATACTAATTTCTGCTTTGTTTCCTTCTTCCTATATCGGTTTTCCAGTTCCATCTTCTCTTCCGGCTCTCCGTTTTTCTTTTCTATTAGTCTCAGTCTTGGACACCTTCATAGTACAATAGTAGTATATTAGTATAATAATATAAAAAGTCCTTCCCCAGTCTCCTTTCTTTCATCTCCTAGTCCTTTCCTCTTTGTCGTAGTTTTCTTTTCTGTTCTGCTCCTCCTCAGTATACTGTACTGTTAGTTTTACATTAGTTATTTACTTGTGATTGTTTTTTCCCAATATAAATAGCATGGTCATAGTTTTACTCTCTCACAGTGAATGCATTTTCTGTTCTTTTACTTACTTTCATCTTACGCTCTCTCCTTTTCTTGTCCACCTTGCCCTTACAGACTGGCAGGTTGCTACGCTGGCACTGTTGCTAGGGGGTGGAGCCCTGGTGCTGATGTCCTTCTTGGTTGCTCTGGTTGCTGTGTGCATTGGCACGAGGCGGCGGTTCTACGCGCCTGTTGCCTTCATGCTCTTTGCTGCAGGTCAGTATACACAAGAATACTGATGTATATACCTACCTATTGTACACACCTATACATACCTATTTTTACCTCCAGGAATAACTGGAAAATTCCAATTTTGGGGCATGAAATGCTTAATTTTGCAAAGCTAGATGTGCTGCTTGTCAGACATTTTTTTAAGATCTTACTGTGGGTACCAGAGAAATGGGAGAGCACTAAAGTGTAAATCGTTCAGAGTTTTGTAGAGTCTGTGCAACTTTCCCTGAGCTGAAACTGTGTTATAATTATGAATGCAGTCAAAGCACTAATGAAAAATGAGTGCTCATGAAATCAAACTCTACAAGCCTGTTCATCTTGATATACAGCCAAAATTGAACTTGAACAAGTACTCTTTTGCAACAGAGGCAGGACGTTGAAATTACTGATTAATTATAATGATAATCTTCGTGGGGGCAGCTTTACCTTCATCTGGGTGCAGCTCCTGTTACTTCATGTGTAACTTGGCGGTCAGAAGTTTAGGTCACGAGAGGCACTGATGTCCAAGGTGTTCAAAATGTCTGTGAGGACGTTTAGCTGGTGAGAGTCAAAATGCATCACTTCTACATGACATAACATCAAGAATAGTGTTTAAACAGATTTATCTATTAGTTGTATTTGCAGGGGGTGCTGTGATGAGCTGCAGCACCTCTAGCACCACTAGACCTTGTGCTGTACTCAAACATAATCAAAGATATTTTGCTTTGACATTTAATTTTAAAGATCAGTTGCATTACTTTGCTTAGCTTTTTTATTTTTTAAATACCTCAATGTGAGTAACAAAGGATAAGTATGTGTTGATAGGAATGATACTTGATCAAACCAAATTTCGATACTTTTTTTGTAAGTTTTGTAAGATGTAAAAGCAAATTAGTTTTTTTGCAAGACTGCATTTTTACCATTTCTTCACAATGGATTTGAACACAACTGTTTTAATTTAAACCATCCATGCTTCAATTAAATAATCATCAAAAATCATTATATGATGTATAATTTTAGAACCTGGAAAACAGATCAATCATCTGTGGCTACTTGTTATTC